TGGATTTTTTGCTTGTTTTTTTTTTTTTTTTGTGGCAGTCATCACCAACTTTTGTTACTGATAAAGTGTCTTTTCCTCAGGCATCCACCAATCCCTCCAACAAAGAAAGAGTGTCCAATTAAATGAGACATAGTTACCATCGCAGCTAGTTCTCAGTGTGTAGTCAAAGAAATCTATGATTTCTGCAAAGCAGCATGCTTTTTCAATCCTGCTTTTGGTAAGCACCATTTCCTAGATTTGTTTTTCCTGTCAAGAGACACGAACAAACAGACTGGTCTTGCAGAACGTGTTTCTGGTTGAGAACTTTTCCTGTCTTTGGCCCACTGTTAGGTGTATTTGAAGTTATTCTGCTCCTCTTAATACCCGAAGTTCATTGTTCTTTTGCTGCTGGAAGTTTTCTCTTTCCTTATTGCAGTCTGATTCTAGCCATCCTTGCATCCTTTTTTTGATCATTGTAGACATTCATTTAATGTAGGTATTCTTGGAGCATGTAATTGTTTCTCTGAAGACGTTCAGTGTGTTCATGTTTGGTATGATTTTACATTCAGAGTTGAGAGAAAAATCTAAACGTCATTCTTTTTTAGTTCTTTTATTACATAATTTTTGCAGCTTTTTAGAAACTGGTGGAATGTTGTAGAGTATCATCAACATGTGGTGGAGGTCCTGTTGAGGGCTCAGCAACTTAGAAACTTTCAGAACATGTAGACAAGTGGATCTAGAGGAATAATCTGCTTGAGTTAGAAAGTCTCAGGAGATAGGACAAGGGGAAATGGCCTCAAGTTGCTCCAGGGGAGGTTTAGATTGGATATTAGGAAAAATTTCTTCACAGAAAGGGTTATCCAGCATTGGAATAGGCTGCCCAGGGAAGTGGTTGAGGCACCATCCCTGGAGGTGTTCAAAAGACGGGTTGATATGGTCCTCAAGAATATGGTTTAGTGGTTTGGGGGAGTTTTTTGTGTTTTGTTTGTTTTTGTTTTTTTTTAATTGGTTATTTCTTATTTATTTTTTTGTCAGAGTTAGGTTGATGGTTGGACTAGACAATCTTTAAGGTCCCTTCCAACCTAGACAATTCTATGATTCTAAAGCTGATGCTGGTAACTGTCTTTGGCAAGCTGAGAAAAAGTGTATGAAGAAACTCTTACTTGTCCTGAACTTGGCTGTTACAAATAGTAACTACTTGAATAGTTAATGTTCTGTGACAACCTGCATTTCCCAGCATGGTTTCTGATACTCGGAAAGAACCCCAAAAACCCCAGAAACCAAAACTGAAGTACTACTCGCCATGTTTTGTTGCGGTACAAGGCATTGAGAGTTACTGGAAGACATATCAAATGAACCCTTAAAATGTAGTCCAGGTGGCCAAATACAAGATATTAGGCACAGCAAAAGGACAAATACAGATTCCAGTGGGTATGCTCTTCATGTTTAAGATAGTCATGCAAGCTTTGCTCATGTTGGGTAAATGCTTTCAATAACAATGAGTAACAGTACACAGGTTCATTGGAGGCTTTCATCTTTTGTTTAAAAGGGGGGAAGAAAATAATAATTTAAATGGCATTTTGTGCTTATTCTACTACCTCTAACTTCAAGAATTCATTAAGGGTGACTGCATTTGGTATGTGTCTCGGTAGACTAACACTTGTTGAAATCTAGAAAATACGGCCAAGCAGCTTCAGTCCTCATTTGGAATTCATGCCTGTTACTCTCTTGGCAGAATATCTTCTATCTATTAGAGCACTGCAGATGGAAAATGTAGAGGCATTCTGCCTGAACCCTTAGGTATTGAGACAATAAGAAGGCTTATAATAAATATGTCTAAAATATTAGTTAGATTTATTGGAAAAATAACACATTATTGGAAAAATAACACATTATTTTAAAAAAGGAGATTTGGTTATTTTGTATTTAGAAAATAACCTGTATTGCTAGATATTTTTATACCCTGTTTGTTAAAGTCACTGGTCATTACTGCCCATTAGTAGTGGTGGGTATGGGTACACTGGAGAATTTAAACTTCTTACGTATTGACTTATTTTCTCTTGAAGTAACATATCCACCAATCCGGACCCAATCTACCATATTTAAAATTGAATGCAAAATTTTGAGATTTAGGTTTTGGGGGAAAAATGAAAAGATTGGTTTAAAGTTGTGCGTAATAGTTGAGTTTGATTTATTAGAAGCCCTCTAGATCTGTATAATTATCTGGTGGGAAGCTGATTTGGTGTGACTTACCGTCCAGAGATCCTGAAGTGACAGCCTGAACTGCTCCTTTATCTTTGGAGAGAAGAGACTTTACCATTAGTAACGGATTGCTGGATATATTATTTTAGAGAAAAAAAAGAGAAAAAGGTAAGATTTTTCTCCTCTTCTACTATTTCCTGTCTACTGCAAAGGCATTCTGTGTCATCTTTGATATATCAGGTGCTATTTGATGACATGATCAGGTAGTCTCAAACTACACGATATCTGAATGTAATGATTTCTGCAAATATTTCATACTGTGGCTGCAGACTATAAATAGACTTTCTGGAAAGAGCTAATTTCTAGTTGCAAGTTGCATATATTGAAGATTTAAGGTTGCTGGTTTGAGGCTTTTGAAAGTAAAACTTGGGTACAGCAAGAAAGTAAGTGGTAGTTTCTTTAGATAATCTGTATAGAATATCTGTGTTTTCTTTGACACAACTAAACAAAAATCAAGTTAGGACATCGTGAGTCAAACTGCAGTTTGTCATAAAACAATGTTTCCCATCTCACAAGAAATACAATTAAGTCTTATGAACTTGTATGTTAAAAAAATTTAGAAGTTTGCCTGACACAAAGTTTGTGTGTTACTTTCAGAAGGCATTGACTTTTAATTTATCCTTTAATAAGCTTGGAATATAGTAATGCATGCACTGTACCAAGACTCTAGGTTACTTTTGACCTGTAGCAGACATTGGCAAGACTGAAATTTTAATTTCTTAGTGTGATTGAAGCTGTGGGTGGGTTTTTTTCACCTTTTTTTTTTTTTTTTTTTTAATCTTTATTTATTAACCTGTCTTTGTCTCCACCCACAAGCTGCTATCTCTCCTGCCCTCCCTGATTCTCTCCCCAAGGCGGCTGGCGGGAGGGCTTAGCTACTGGCTGGGACCAGCCACCACACAAGAAGCAGGCAGACAACAGAGCACCCGCATCGGCAACAGGCGCCCAAAGAACAACTCAAAGAGGGACTTGCACAGTGAAAACATGCTCTGGTTTCACTCCTGAC